TGGGTTTATCTGATGTTGGCGTTATAATGGCTTGATATGTTTTTCTTGCCACTACCTTTAGACTTGAAATTGCAAATACACAGTTGGAAACAATTATTAAATGAAAGAAAATCAAAATTACATACCCGGTTGCAAACAATCTATGATTGGTCAGCAAAAAAATACCATTTGTTACTCTTGCTGTAATGCAGAATAGATTGTATAGGATTGAGTAAACCATGGTACAGTCTCGAGGTGCCAGGATAGATTCACTCTGATTTCATCTTAAAACCATACTATAACATACCKCACTTATACCTTGCCATACACCATGGTTTGCTGCAACCCTGTCTAAGTCAATTCTGTTACTAGTACTGGTAAGGCTCAGTGTAGACCTGGAACTTTTCATTGATCAAATATTAAATGTTGGGAGGTATCTAAAATCAGTCATCCAGAATTGGGTCTTTTTGACTTTCATAAAGCTCCATACGAGCTACTTTTCATTGGTCGATTCTTCAGTGTTGGGAGGTATCTAAAATCTGTCATCCAAATTGGGTCTTTTAGAGTTTYATAAAGCTCCATGCAAGCTACCCTCTAGTCAGTTTAAGGTGGCTTTCAATCTGATTAGATAAAGTAGATGAAAAGTTCCAAGTCTAACTGGGCCCAATTGATACTGTATACGAGGCATAAAAACAGTTTTATGCCTCGTTTTAGTTTCCAGCACCAGTCTTTTAATCAAGCAAAACCTTCGTCTTCAGAATCGTAATCAAAAGCTCTGTCCCTGAGGTCATCAGTTCATCCTATGCCAAACCCTTGAGGGTGGCCCTTAACGCTTTGTCGAGGGCCATTTTTTCTTAAGGGGAGGGTAGGTTTGAACTTTTGATCTCAGGGACCTTTGTCTAATTACCCTAGGGGCAAAAAAAATCACAAAAAGACTTAGTATATATTTTTTCAAAATTTATGGGGATTTTTTATTTTTTTTCTTGCCAATTTGAATTTTTTTAATTTTTTTAAGCCAATTTGAATTTTTTTCTTTTAAAGCCAATTTCTGTTGTTTTTTTTTTGAGCCAATCCTTTTTACCTTGTTAATGCATACCAGACTTGCCTTGTTCCTTGCTTGTGGGTGGCTGTCTTTTTTCTTGTCCAATTTTTCATCTGAGAACCTAGACCTTACCTGGATTTGAACCCTTACCTTCAACTTGCCTCTTGTCCATTAGCCAGTGCACTTGTGTTGTATACTGTCAGTTTATTTGTTGAAAGTGATGGTATTGATGTACCTTAAATCATAGGGCTTTGTAATGGCTTGCATTAATTACTTAATAAAATTTCTTATGAATATTTAATGTCTTGTTTATTGTCTGAACGAAACAAACGGGGTACTTAACAGAATAAAGGAAGGGGATTAGATGGGTGGGGTCTAGGTGATAAGCTAACCAAAGGGTAAAGGTGCTAAGTTAGCCGAAGGTGCTTAAGGGGATTAGAAGGGTGGGGTAGAGGTGCTAAGCTAGCCAAAGGGTAAATGTGCTAAAGCGACCAAGGGGTGCAAGTGGGTGTGGTGCAGTGAGCAAAGCACAGCTAAGGTCGCAAATGATGAACATGCTAAAAAAATCCTAAGTTTTTGGGCATGAAAAAGCGTTGATCCATGGAGCAGATCACGTGACAAGGAGCCTGAAAATTTTCTAAGTTTTTTGGCGGGAAAAAAACGAAAATTTGAAAAGGGGTGTACCATGAAATAAACAAACACCAAAATATTTTAAAACTCATTTATTATACAACGTTAAAACGAATACATGTAAAACACGTAAACTTTAATTCAAAATATTAATCTTTTGGCAAAAAATAAATGGAATTTTTTTTTAACGTAATATTTTGTATAACCTGAAGCACGTCGATTGAATATCGCGACTCCCTTGTTCCATTTTTGATTCTTTGCTTTGCTGGCTTCCATGATTCTGTAATCTAGTTTTAAAAAAAGTAGATTTATAATTAAATAAATGAATGAGAATCATATAAACTTGTATAAAGAAATCAATTTAGAAAGAATAAAAAAAAGGGAAACTTATCTTTTGGGTAGTAATCCTTCTTATACCAAACCCTTCTCTTCGATTTTTCGTTAGAAAGCTGAGAAGGTTTTGGGTACGAGAATGGATATTAATGTACGTAATTTAAGACTCGGCTTTAAATCAAATGATGGGAGATAAATGTTTTCTATATATGAATGTAGGAATTAAATATAAGGGAGGGACGAAATTCAGTGTAAATAACTTGCCAAAAAGTGTGTTTTTCTACGGATTATTGACGAGATACTGTTAGGTACAACTAGATATAAATACAACAACATTCTAAAAGTTCTAAACCTAAAGCCCAATTGGCCGCTAGTACAAAATCAGTATTATGTTACAAACCAAAGAAGCCATTGCGCAGTTCAATAATCTTACTTCAGCATCGACGAGCAAAAACATACTCAAAAATCAATGAATTTCGACGATTTTTATTTGCTTTTCTAAACCTAATAGTTCGAAAAAGTGTATATTTCACATTACCTTTCGTTTTAGACATCTAGGATCTTTATTACGGCTGGTTTCTCGACATTTTTGGAACACTTTGATGGCTTCTTCTTGTCGTTTTTCAAAATGGCGGAATAGAACAAGCTTGCTGGATGACTACGAATCCCTCGAGAATGAAAAATCTGCATGAAAAAGAAAAGTGTACTCTTAAAAAGCGTGCTCTGAACAAAAACGCCTTTCGTCTTTAAAGACTTTAGAATGACGACTCCCTTTATTGTCATATCTTTGTCTCTATGGACAATGGATGTAGATGGCAATCAATTATAAATCATTTTAAAATGTATGTCTTTATAAACATATGTCTTAAAAAAAGCACTTCAATTTTAAAGTAAGACAATATTTGTTACTTCTTAAGACAATTTTTTTATATTTTAGCATAAGACATATTTAAATTCCTATGCATTAATGCGAAAAGTCCAAATGTCTTTGCGCAAAAATTTAAGTCTAATAAAGGAGTTGCGATTTTTGAAAAAACAAAGTTTTCATATACCTGGCCTACAAAAAAACCTATTATGCCGCAATTCTCCTGTACCAAAATATTCAAAAAAACACGTAAACAGTATCCGGCATATGGGATAGCACATTATAGATTATTAGTTTTTAAAAGGGTTTTTATTTTTTAACTATATCTTTTCAAACATCTCAAGATACATATCTCATCAGGTTATTTGATTTGCAATAAGTAATTTCTATTTTTTTCACATACCATGATTACAAAAACCTGT